GTCGTGGAGTACTTAATGTTTAAAACTAAATGAAAAAGTGATTTAAGAGAATTATCACTGTTACCACTATGTAACCATGTATAATATTTTATAATAAGGTCCCCCAGCAAACTATTAAAAGTGGTTCAAGGGGATATTTAAAAAGAGATTATGAAAGTGTTTCCCCTAGAACCCTGTTGATGGCAGAAACGCAGACATTGTCCAAGACCTCACCACACAAACTTCCCTCATGTGTGGAGACAGACCAAGGGGCCCTCTGGTCCTCCTGTTCTGCATTAATTATGCCAAGAGTTCCACACTAGAACCTCAAGGCCTGGGAACCAGCCGAGGTGGGGGTCAGAGAAACGGTGGATGTGGACCCCAAAGCCGCTTAGGGCTGATTGGATGCAGCAGGGGGCAGGCCATTCCCCTGTGACGTTTTCTCCTCTATGTAACAGTGGCGGGAGTGTCCCTGTGAGAGGCCAAGTGTGGGCCACACATCCAGCCTGGGGTCCAACGAGTGCTCTTGGGGTGATGGGGGATATGTGGCACCCCAGAGAGATAGAGCTAAATTTAGGTGGCTTTGAAAAGGGAAGTGCCAGGTTACCAGGGACTGGGTGTTTTCACTTCAGGCAGTGAACTGACGGTTTTAGATACCTAGAAGGGAACTTCCCACGTAGGATCAAAAGACGCCAAGGTAACTGGCCCGCCTGCGGGTCTTAGGCCCCTTCCATAGGGAGGGGCTGCACTGCACATGTCCGGAGGGGCGTGGCAATGGGAAAGGTGAGGGAATAGGGAGCAGAGGGCAAGGGCGAGGTGAGCCCAGCAGATGACTAGCGTTACTATAGCAACCCTACTGTGGATGCTGTGAGGCTCCCCGCCTCATGCTGGTCTGCGGAAAATCAAGCTTTGGAAATGAGCCGTGAGGCAGGAATGCTGGGAAGATGACATGTCACAGACAGTGGATTTGGACAAGTTGTTTCCTCGCAGGCCGGCTTTGAAGACCCGGCAGACCACTGCTCTGGCCAGGGAGGAGAAAGGCAGTGGGCTCATGACACCACGCCTCATGGGATCATTGTGCCCCAGGGAGGCTGTCCCAG